GTGTCATCAGCAAACTTGCTGTGGGTACACTCTGGCCCATCATTCAGATTTTTAATGAAGATATTAAACAGGATTTGACCCAGTATTGGTGCATATTGGTGCATCAGTGGCCTCCAACTTCACTTTGTATTGTGGATGACCACCATCAAAGGCCTGGTCCGTCTCACTGTCTGCTCATTCACTACATTTGTTTTTATTACTTAAGGAAATTACAGATTACCACCATTTTCTCCTTTGGCTGCTCTATAAAGTTTCACATCCTGTTTGTTTGCCAGCAACTCTAAATAACCTGGCACAGTTATGAGACATTATTTACATCTCATAAGAAATTTGAAATGTTTTACAGTAAAGGCTACAATAACTAAATATTGCAGGAACCTGTTATTGTGGAGTGGGTTGTAATATATCACCAAAGGAAAGATCTAGATAACCTTTATTTTGTTGAGTTTGGTTTGTGTTAAAAGAAGCATTCAATGCTTCAGCAAAGAGCCACAGAACTTTTGGATGTTAGGTCTTCCATTTATATAACCTTTACACATTTTCACAATGCTTATGAAAATTCCTGGTTTTCTCTTTACATACTTAATTTTCCCATTAAGGAAATCCGCATTAAAATATTTCCATGTGTTTCATTGCCCTCAAAGCCTATTGCCTCCTATTTTTCTGTCTCCTTATGTGTGATCTATTTTGTTTTTCACAGCAAAGTTGTCCCATCTTGGGAGGTTTTCCGTATGGAAACATGATTTTCATCTGTCTATTGAAAGATCCCGACAGTCAGTGTTTAGATATCATTAAAAATGTTCTGACTCAGCCAGACTGATAATAACAATTTGATTGAATTACATACAGAAGAGCTACTAAAGCATAATCTATTTAATGGTAGACTATTTAAAAAGCAAACATTTGCTGGGTAAATATACTTAAATATGTTTGAATTTTAAGCATCTCTGATAATACCTTATTTACAGATTTTGTTTTTATTATAATAATATTGATATGCTAGTAATGTTCAATGAAGTGTATCACTTCAGGTGTCAGATTTTATTTCACTGTCACTCTTGAAATGTTGAAAAAGATTATTTTTCTAAACTGAGCAAGATCTACCACATTTCTAGAACTTTAACAGATTGCGCACTTCTCTGTGTATTATTACCAATGTTACAGAATTGTTACATGAGAACAGACTTTCAGATTTGTTTTGTGGTTCAAATTGCATGGTCTATATTACACTTCAGCCTGGATTCTTGCTACTAGCATTGCTTTATATGGAAACTTCATATGGGGAAAATCCTGACAGGACTTTTTTCTCCATGTTTCCTTCTCTGTACTTTACTAATGTCATGGAGTGTTTTCAGTAAATCAGAGTGATCCTTGCAAGCTCAGTAAAAGGAATGCAACAGTTATGTGAGATAAATTTGGGTCTTAACTTGAACCAGAATTCAAAGGTTTCCTTTAAGTGTCTTGGTTTCAGCACCAGATACCAACATCTGAGTAAATTAACTGAAATACATGATTACATTTAGTGTCATAGGTTGTCATATCTATCTATGTCTGATCTATAAACCTGCTTAACAATTAATGCTAATTGTCTACTCAGTTATATTTGCTGTTTCCTAAGTTCATGGGTATTTACTCATGATTTATATTGTGTAACTGTAAAAGACAGCTGGGAAGAACAACAACAGTTTGGTTATAGAGGGACAATGTAAAAAGTGATTTTCCAACTCCAGTTTTTGTAGCCAGCACATTTTGACTATTCAGGTTAAAATGGCTGTTCTTGCTTATAAAGCATTAGATTTTTTTCATTCTGTTGTTTTGCCATGATTCCTACTGTCCTGATTCAACTAAGGCTAGAGGGAGACAGCAGTTTTGGTGGAGGGTTGGTTGTAGTTTTTGGAGGTTTATCCATTTGATACATCTCCTACTTCCAAACTTTCTCCTCATTGTTTTATTTCTAGTTCTTTCTACAGTGACCCAATTCTGAAACAAGAAGATAAATTCCAGAGTAGATGAAGAAAACAGTGCATCAAATTCTTTTTAGGTAGAAAAGCAATGCAAGTAATAAAAATTTACCAGTCAAGACCAATCTATTTTAAGAAATCATGCATTGAAATGCCTTAATCTCTTTCACATTTCACTGTTTTGGACAGTATCTTCAAACTGGGACAAATTTTATGAAATGATGATTTGTCTGTGAATAGTTGTCTCTTGAAGTATAGGTCTAAGACCAAACTCATTTCATCTATGTGTTACACCTGCCTATAAAACTGATACAAACCCTCTCAGAGAGTACATCTAATCATATTTATCTGATGGAAAACAGCACATATATGAGACTTTTACCTCGTTAGTACAAAGTCTTCCATGGTGAATCCTTAAGGTATTTTTTTCCCAATAAGACCGAATGGACGCTACTGACAAAGAAAGTGTCTTCTCTTTGTCAGTAGGGATGGCAGAGTATTCATGAACAGAATGAAGTTTAGATTTCTCTAGTTAAGTTGAGTGTTATACTGCAAAATGCAAAATAGGCAAAAGCATTCTGAATGGATCTGTAAATATATCCTCTTTCATTAGGCTGATGTATTAAAATATCATGTGGTTAGCTGTGTGATGTTCTCGGTTGCTAGTATATGCAAAAATATTTTTGAACTCACTTCTGAAAGGCAGAGGAAAGCAGGATTTCATAACAGAAAAAACCCAACTTGTTTTGACAGTATCAATAATTTCTGCATCAATAATTAGTGTGTTGCCATAGTTTTGAAACATTTCTCATTTCCAAGAAATATATGTGCATTTACATCACTGAAGTGCATGTTCAAATTTTAGCACATTGACATTATAACCCAGATATTGAACAAAACTAATTTTCTTTTTCTCTGTTTTTAAGATCCAGATTTTAAGGACCTTGGCATTTTGAAACCATTGCCAGGTTGGTATGTTGGTTTTGGGTTTTTTCTTAACTTGGAGGCCTTTATACTCTGCTGTAGAAAATATTTTTGTTCGCTGCTCAGGTTTCATTTTTTCTGATATTTTGTTATTCAGTTTGTGAGTTTGAGATGGGAGGACCTGAAGGAATTGTGGAATCTGTACAAATTGTCAAAGAAGGAAAAGCTTCTGAAACTGAAGCAGTAGACTGTAAATGGTACATCCGAGCACCACCCCGATCCAAGGTCAGTCTTTCATCCACTTGCTGATTTGCCATTTAATTTAAGAAATTGACTTTTCTAATATATTGTGCATTTCTTAGTGCAGTCAGATCTCGTTTAATAACTTTACAGCTTGATCTGTAAACTATTTTTTTCCTTCTGCCATACAAGGGTAATTTGTCATCTCAGCCAAAATAACCACCTTTCTCTATAAATGATGATGTGGCAGTGTTAATGTGCTTTTTGTGCCATAACTAATTTTCTTAAATTCAACTTTAATTTTGCTCATATTTTTAAAGAATCAATGTATTTTCTTAAGTGGGAAGTAATCTTATCATTTTAATTTTCAATGTATTTCAAATACCTAATGTAGAGGCTACTAAGGGAACACTGCTGGCTCCCTAAGGTCATCATTGTTTCTCATCTGGGAACTGTGAAAGTGGACCTAAGGTAAATTCATGTTCCTCTGTATGAAACCTTTAGTTCCTTTGGTTTAGAGCCACAGACAAAGAGATAGTGTTCTCATTTCTTTCCCACCACAGTCAGCAAGCAATGTCTTTGTAAGAAACATGAGAGGGCTGCTGTGAATTTAACACTGCTTTTCTTGGATTCTGTTTGATTTCCTCTCCTATCTGTATCTTATCAGTTATTATATGCATTAATTGTTGCTGAATACACTACCACTTCTCCCCTTTGCAATTGGCACAGCTTTTTGCCTCCCACCTACTTTCATTCACTGTGTTAAAGAGCCTCCACAGTATACTTTTTCTAGCTGTCTTTTATTGGACAGGAAAGGTTTTACAAGGTAGAATTTATATATCCACTAATCTCTGCCATCCTTAAACAGATAAGGGGGTTTTTGTATAATCTCAGAGAGCACTGTACTAAATATCTAACTGTTTCATCATCAGTATAACACATAGATGAATGCTTAGAGTTCTTCTCAGCAATGGTTTCCAGAAGAGAAAAAGTCATTAGTATCAGCATTTTTCTGTTGGGAAAGTTTAGGAGAAGAGTTGGCTCATAAAGACTACAGATAAATTATTTCCAGAATATGCTTTAATCTCATATATTTTTTTACTTTTGGATAAATTCAATATTGATAGAGGTTTTCAATTAAGTAGATGAGTTTCCCACTTTGCTGCACTAAATAGCAATATGAGATGACTGGACTGATGAATGATTATTCTACGTGTTATATAAAATTTATATTCATTATGTGCAACCACCAGTATTGATACAAGTTTGGGGATGAACAGATTGAGAGCAGCCCTGCTGAGGACTTGGAGGTGCTGGTGAATGAGAGGTTGGACATGAGCCAGCAATGTGCGCTTGTAGTCCAAAAAGCCAACCGTATCCTGGGCTGCGTCAAAAGCAGTGCGGCCAGCAGGTTGAGGGATGTGATTCTGCCCTCTAATCTGCTCTTGTGAGATCCCACCTGAAGTACTGCATCCAGCTCTGGGGTGCCAGGCACAGGAAGGACATGGACCAGTTGGAGCAGGTCCAGAGGAGGGCCACAAAAATGATGAGAGGAATAGATAACTCTCCAATGAGGAAAGGCTGAGAGAGTTGGTGTTAATTCAGTCCAGAGGAGAGAAGGCTTCAGGGAAACCTTATAGCAGCCTTCCAGTACTTAAAAAGGACCTAGAAGAGAAATGGGAACAAGTGTTTTAGCAGGACCTGTAACAATAGGACAAAAAGTAATGGTTTTAAACTAAGAGAGGGCAGATTTAGACTAGCTATGAGGAAGAAATTTTTTACAATGAGGCTGGTGAAATACTGGAACAAGTTGCCCAGACAGTTGATGACCCATCCCTGGCAACAGTCAAGGTCAGGTTGGACAGTGCTCTGAGGAACTGGATCTAGTTGAAGATGTCCTTGATTGTGGCAAGGGGGTTGGACTAGATGACCTTCATAGATCCCTTCCAACTCAAATTATTCTATGATATAATCAGGTATTGATAGAAAGAAAACAGGTAAACACAAAATTAAAATTGTGCTTATTAGAATCAGCACAATTAAATAAGCCAATGAAAATTTTTCTGTAGTCTTAATTCAAGTTTATGATTATTTGGTCAGATAATGTCATTGTGATGTTCTTACTTGGCCTAACTCTAAAGTTCTACATGATTCAAAGTCCTGCTAGAAATCCCATATTTACTTAACTGTAGTATTTATCTACACTTCAGTCCTGATATAAAATTACAAACTGGGTAGCTGCATAACCATAAATACAATGTGTAACAGAAGAATGCCACACCACCACTGTTACTAGAGGATTAAGGATTAAAGTTCATTAATTTTTCATAAACTTCCATGCTTCAATTTAGTTGTGTTGCATTTCAAGGAGCGTGTACTAGCCAAAGGGCATCTGGAAGGGAGAACAACAAGAGAATTTTAGAAAAACTGAGGTAATACTCTATGTTATTTAATGTCATCAAGAAGATTTTGTGAAGGAGCATGATAAAATATCAGAAAAGGCTTTTACCAAGAAGATTTTGTGAAGGAGCATGATATAACATCAGAAAAGGCTTTTAAAAAGAGGAAGGAATGCTCTGATGTCCAGGTCTGTAGGATAACCCATGGTCCTGCACTCTGAAAGAAAGTTTCAGATACTACAGAAGAAAATGTCAAACATCAGGGAGGGGATTATGAATGATTGTTTGAGGAAGTTTGTTCAGCTAGCATTGCTGGTGGTCTTAAAGTGCAGGTTAGGTTGCAACCTATGAAAAATGAGAGAAACATTAATAATCCTACCTTTAGGCAGAGGGCTATACTGAGTCATCTCTTGATGGATCTTGCTGATCCCATGTTACAGAATTATCTGGATAGAGACATTGTGCAATATAAAAGCTTATAAATCAGTGTTTCTTAACATGTAGAGTTGAAAGCTTTCACAGCAAGCTAGGGAAAAAAGAGTTTTCAAGCCTAGATCCATCTTTGTGGGATAAGTCTCATTTAACAGTTGAACTTTCTTAGTGTGATTTTCAAACAGATGCATACATATATATATTTAATACACACAAGTATATACATGTATAGATGCCCATGCATACATGGTTATGGATTCACCATAATAGGACAGGTTGAAATATTTTCAGATATTAAGGAATGAATAAGTGAATAAATTCTAAAGAAACTTGTAAGAAGTAAGATTTATGGTAACATTGTATATGAGTCTGATTCAATTGAACTGGATTTTATTGTCCATATTTTACAGTCATCTTCTTTTGTGCTTATGCAACCTTGAACTAATGACATATTCAGTACAATTATTTAGTGACATCATTCTAATTTATGTCAGCTTGAACCTATGAAATCAGGCTCTCCTTCTAAGGACAGTGAGAACTCAGCAGACATCTTTAAATCCACATGTTCCTGTACTCTGGGCTGCACAGTTTGTTACTGGGAATTATGCCTAAAAGGCCAGAGTTTCTCAGACAGAGTTTCTGTTGGATCTTTGCATCTTTAGTTTCTTAATTAAACCATGCCAGACTGTGGGTTGTTTGCAATTTCATTTGGCTTAGGCTCATCCAATCTAAACTGTCTGCAGAAGCAAGATGCAAGTCCTTCCCTTGGTTTCCAATTCTAGATTCAAGCCAAGTCTGAGCTCAACATATGAGCAATGAGATCAGCCAGGCAGTATGAACTTTAGATCTCTAAGCCTGAGCTTCAAACTGACAGTCTGGAATGGGACAGAGAGTGGCAGATTTCTTGCACACAGTTAAAATAGAGCCACTGAATACCTTATATTAAAAAAAAACCAAAACAGAAAACAACAGCAACAACAACAAAAACAAACCCCCAGAAAAAAACCAACCTGAAAAAAACCCACAACAGCAACAACAACAAAAACAAACCCCAAAAAAACAACCAACCTGAAAAAAACCCAGAACTGAAAGCACATGCAGATCTGAAATTTTCTGTAAGTGTAGAAGACAGCAGAAGGCAGTTCAAACACAACTTCAATCTATATGCAGACCTGGAGTCCTATACTGTAAAGTGACTGGTTGAAAAGCATGTCTTTCTTGTAACCACTCAAAGTCAGTTCCTGCTGCTAAGATAGCTGTGAATTTGAAGTTCAGTAATACTGGGGGTTATGCACTTCGTGTAGAAGGTGACTTCAAACAGTAATCAGAGCAAGAATGGAAAATTAAGAAGAGAGCTGCTGACTGAATGTGCCAACTCAGCCAGAAGAATAAAGTTCTGAAGGAATCTCCCCGTGCAAAAACTCTTCACTGTATAACAAAGTCCAAAGGAGGAAGTGCATAAACTTATTGCACTGGGATTTGAAAAACTTCAGAGATATCATTGGCTACAGCAGTGCATAAGCAAAGAATCTGTACTTAGGAATATAAAATAAGAAAATGAAATTAATTATAGCATTTTATTACTTTATGTTAAGGGACAGGATAATATCAACATGTGTTTTTTCTATATTGGAGTTTGACAAGGTCCCTCAGGGAAGGCAGAATGCATGTTTGTGCTCAAGGAGTACTCCCTTTGGTGGATAACTTTCCCGGTAAGATAGCATTGTGTCATGGTTGTTCTTTGAGAAGTTCTGTAGAAAAAAAAGACCAAAAAAAGGCAAGAGAATTTGACATAAGAGTAATAAAACATTTACAAAGATGATGTTCTGATGCTGGGAAAAAAAAACAATAAGCAGAGCTATTATAAGCACTATTATCAGAAGCTCTGGGTAGCTCAGGGAAGAGCATCAAAACTACAGATAGACAAGAATTAGTTTGAATCTAGTCTAGTGGAAATCATTTATTCAGGAGGAATAAGCAAGAAGCACATTTAGACAGAGCAAATAGCAAGGGTACTCTCCATATTTACATAATTAGAAATAAAATGAAGTTACAAGCTAGTTAGGCAAAGTGATGCCTAATTCTCTTGCCCCACCTGAGTATGCTACTGGGCAATGAACATATCTTTATAGGTTATAGGATGCAAGATTTAACACAAAAGATTGAGAAAAACAAAAGTATCAATTAACAAGTATCTAATTTTGACATATTATT